ATAGTGGTAATAGATATGTGAAACATGAGCTTAGATAGACGAGTGCTGAATAAAAAGGGGGCAACCATGTGAATGATGATGGACATTTCGATTAGTATTATAACGCAACAGCGGTGCATTTTTGCGCTATTTTTGTTAGTGAACAATGAACAATATATTAATGACGAAACACATTAACACTTGACACAACGCAAAGAAGCCATAAAGTGCGCAAGTAATGTTCTTCTCCAAGTTGGTGTACAAAACTAAGGTTGTTTCTGTCATCGTAAATGACAGAAAAAAATTATAATAAAAAATGTTAAGTCTCAAAATATGAGTCACGACTGAAATCAAATTTAAGTTGGTCTTGTTTGTTGGTCCGTACCAAAGATTTGCTGTTTTGGTTTAATTAGCTTACCAGATAAAAGCAACTCATAAATATTAATAAGAGAACTGGAATATCAGTTGGTCTTTCTGCACGCAAGAGCGGTGAGATAACGACTTAAGGTCCTGTGAGTTATCTCTACGGCCTTACCCGATAGCTGCTGTTTCCATCTACATATTGGTAACACTCGTAAATTTAAAATATTTGTTCTTTGTACTTCAGAAAATTTAATCATTTTTGTTGCCTGCTATGCTCTATTACCTTTGATATTGAGTATTAAATGTATATAAAATTACTATTGTTAATGTTGCACCTCGGTTAAGTGCACAAGGTCGTATTTTTTGAAAATGTTAAACACAATGTATCATTAAAAATCCTGCAGCATCGAACCGAAGAGACTTTGTTGGCAAATTTCCATTGCATGCATAACTAAAAAGCCTTGTTAGGAAAATCTTGTTAAGCTGTGTAGCTATAAAATATTTTTAGTTTTTTGGGGAGTTATTATTCGGGTAAGAAAACTCGAAAACATCATTAGCTTCGTTAGATCACACAGAGAAGTCATAGCAGAATATTACATTTATTAACCAAATGTACCAGCTACTAATCTGAGATGACTTGTTAATCTCATTGTAAGTGTGAAAATTGAGATCATATTTAATCGCAATTTAACCACAATATGTTATACAATCAGCGTACAACAACTATTATGATTATATTATACGATTTAATCAAATACAGCTTTTGCAATAACAGACATGGCCTTTGTAACACTTAATCTTGTCATCACATGCCTGTAACAAAATACGTAAACGACTTCAATGTTTAAAAGGATACCAAAGTATTTTCTTTTTCGTGTTATCGCTAAGCAGAATAGATTTTGCCTTGTGTTTTTGATCATTCGTCAAAAAGATCATAATGAAATGAATACCATCCTGCATAGCCTACAACTAAATTTTATTCACAATCGGCTAAACGTTTTTAGAAAGAAATGCATTGCTTGAATTAACTGTCTTGCGATTGGTTTTATTTAATAAATCAAACAAGCTTTTTTATCTGGAAGATGGGTCATTAAGGAGCTCAGGACATATGTATTTTTTATTATAAGCGTTTGTCGAAAATCACTTATTTCGAGTCTCTGTATAACATATTTGGCGAAAGAACCAGTTCGTAATAATACAGTGGGTAGGCCCCGATCTTCGAAGCTATTATTAGTTATAAATTATCAAGTACGAAACACTCATACCAATAACGGTGTTATTTTGCAGATACCTGTGCAAACGGCTATCATTCTCGGTTCGCAGACAAGAAGCGGTTATGGTGTAAATTATATTGATATAATTAGAGAAAAAGTTGTTACCTGACTGAGGGTTCCACGTCATCATTGAACAAGAGTCACCTGAATAATGTAACCAATCAGTAAGAATTGAAAGAAATATCTAAGGGGAGACACCCTTATTATGGTCTCTTGTACGTCTTACACGTAAAGTCGAATAAAGGCGTCTTAATTTGTAGATTTTTGTACCGAGATGTGTGTGCGTAGATTCATTGCTGTGACGATCCTATTTATAGCGAGCGACGGCGTCAACAATGGGAAGAGTAAACTGTGAAAAAAAAAGCGCAAATTATTTTTGGTACTCTTTTGTCATTTACCCAGTTTTCGCGTGTTTGCCAATGATATCCGAGATGACAGTAGAAATTTGGAATTGGAAAGAGTGACCTCAAGGTGTTTCCATTCTTTGCGATACCGTGTCCTTCTGTTGGCCCTCAATATTTTACTGTAGGCGCATTTTGCTTAGATCTCCTATTATCGTTTTTGTTATTGGTGTTTCTGTGTATTACACACGAAGGTTTTATAAACGTCTTGAAGGACGACATGCTACTTCCTTGAACGACTACATATTTCCTTAAACCTCTCAACACGTAACTTTTGTTTATTCATCAGATACGCATAAAAGATCACACACCAAACGAGTCTTATCCTACTACTAACTTCGACATATCTAAAAACACATGATCTCAACGTGGTAGTAATAATATTCATTTCAATCTGTGATAATTATCGATAGGTTGAGAGAACACTATCTGCGTACCGATGAGCCTTGGGATTTTATTTGGACACGCTGTTCTCCATCTTCACAACAGCAGTTTGACTGCGTACTTTTCCTAATTACCAGGAAAGAGCAGCCATTAACCTTTGTCATATATTCTACGATAAAGTGGTTTTACATATGTTGAGCAGTTGCGTTTTGCGACAATCTGTTGTCTCATATGTCTTGTTCCATCAAAGTCATACGACCATTTCGATCACACCACTTCTTGTGGCTTGAAAATGTACAGTTCGAAGTAAATTACTTCAATCGTATATACAGCCAATACAGACAAACATACAAGACTCCTTAGAAGCTTTATATATAAATGTACAGCAAGTTACTTTTTACAGTGTGTATGTGTCTGTGAACATGCTGGTACTGTATTAACACGTCATGTCGAACTTTAACCCAATAACTTTTTAAAAATATTTCTTTCAATTTTAGTCTCCATATATACATAGTATTTGAACAGGTTGCCAGAAGTACTCATTATTTAGTGCGTTATAAATGAATGAATGAACATCTGAACGAAACTGTGATGAAGAAACTCTTTGAGACCTAAACAATGGCATGTTAATGGCTTTCCAATAGCAAATACATTCTCATATTTATCTTATTCTGTTTTTAGCAAATTCATTAACGTAGAACACTACTTAGAAGAGAATGAAAAAGGGTGCATCATTTCAGTGTCAACCTACAAGCTCACACGCTTCTTCAATTGGAACTCAAAGGCCTAACATAAGCTTCTGTTCAAGGGCATCCCATGATCGAACACTGCGCACTCTTTGTAGATTGAATTTGAAACCTCTTTGTAAATGGCAAAAAAATGGTTTCATTCAAACCATTACTATACATTAACGTACTTTATATTCACGTTTGATTGACTGATATTAAAGTTTCGCAGTTGACGAACAAATACCAATAGAGACCTTTGTGAGGTTTGTAGTTTAGCTGCGCGTTATGCATAACCTGTTACGCAAAGTCCTATGCAAAACAAAGAAAGCATGCTAGCGAATAACCACATACCCTTATAGAATAATGATGATGTGTACTGGTAGTAATCACAGCTATCATTAGTAGCTGTGAATAATACGATTGGGTTCAATTAAACGTGTGACATTATCTATTCGCATTTATTGCGGCTGGCGGTGCAGAGTATTGTCCTGTAGTTGTCATTGTACCGTCGACAAGTGTTGTGATACCAAAAAATAGTGTGGGCTCATGTAATAAATCTTACGTAGATCTCTACACGAATGCGAAGCTTCGACGATTCTTGTAGGATCACAACGTTCATAGAAAAACGTTAACTACGATTGTCCTGCTACACATACGTGACACCGATGTGAATTCTTACATACTAGTATCATCCCATCATGTACTTCACGTTCCGATTTACCCATAAATGAAAAATAAAATAGCCTTGAACGAAGGCAGCTGGAAGACAAATGCATTTTGCGTGCGACCCAACTTAATTCAGTTTACAGAAAGCGGGCGCCCAACATGTTAGGAGATAGGACAACTCTTGATAACGGTACCACTCGTTCTAGAAATAAGTCTGTAAAAGAAATTGACATTTTTTCTTACTTATGGATTCGTATACTCATGACGAAGAGTACAAAAGAGGCAAAACTAATAGAATAAGAAGAACAAATACCTTCCGACCCTTTTGTCTTGTAACATATTCATCTAGGCTTACTGGGTTTCTAGCTTAGCAGTACGTGGCAAACGACTTCTATACAGCTGCTGAACCTAAAATAAATTCACGTTATTGAAACTAACACAGTACAAACAATGCCCAGGTACAAAAACATTTAAGCTAAACTTCATATTTTGAGGTGCGTAATACAATTCTGTTGAAGTTGTATGTTCTGCATGTGTATTAGAAACAGTTTGTTTATCTTACAATGGCAGTAATCGTACGCAAAATTGCACACACTCTACCAAACTGTTTGTATTATTATTGCAAAGTTCCCAGTTATAGCTTGTTATGTACTACGATTAATCACGCATTTGTTATTATTGTTGAGCTTGTAAATGGTGCCTTCCTTCACTTGATTTCTCATCAGAAATAGCCTTAGGTTGGCCAAGCGATGTCCAAGTGAAGGCCTTGCAGGCCTTTCGCTCATCAAATAACACTGGTCTACTCCTCGAGAGGTAATAGTCCGAGGGCGCATGACATTCAAAGCTCATAGATGCGAGTTCACGGGGAAAATCCTCCTCTGGACCTACGAAAAAGATTTAAAAAAAATAAATATCTTGAGTTATTAGAGAAACGAGAACACATCCAGGATACGATACCTATCGGTCTGGATAGCAAATCGGAACTTTAAGTAACTATTCTTTATTCCAAATAGGCCATTTTAAAGCTGTTATCACCGCCTACGTCTTTGAAAACGCATTTTACCTTAACTGCATTGTTAGGTTTATGAATTCTGTGATTTCTTGACAATAATAATAGCTGTTTTACTAATCGTGGTGCAGCTGCATATATATATATATATATATATATATATATATATATATATATATATATATATATATATATATATACATGGTGATAACACATTAGTCGCATAAAATGTATGGCTTCTTTTAAATTAGTTATAGCTATTAAAAACAGTTTACCTATCACGAAAGAAGCTGGATCAAAGGAACCGTCTGCTGGACTTCGCTCGCTAGGAATTAACCACGAAATGGTCGCACTTAATTGGCCAAATTGGTCAACAAGAAACGAACGCAACTGGGCGTAGTAAATATCACCATCATCTCCGAGCATCGACACGATGTCACCTGACTGTTAAATACAAACGGCAACAATTACGCTATCGTTGAATCTACTTCGAAAAACCATTGATGCAAGATCTACAATGGAATAATAAATTGTTATTGTCACCATAGTATAGTACCTGAAGATAGCTGCCTTTGTGTCGAACGTATGGAGTTGTAATGAAGTGAGCAACGGAGGGTGCAGTTTTTGTTGGGGGAGCTCGTTTAAACAATATTGTTCGTCGGCCTTTCACTAAACTCTTTACACTCTTTGCTGTTTTCATGCGAGTGCCTTTGCGAACCTGGAAATCGTCAACGAGTAGCAAATCAGAATAATTATATTTCTTCTTTAGACCGCATGTATTCACAGCTACGTCCACTAGAATATTAGAAAAGGTTAATTTTTATATGCGCGAAATCGTTCTATTCATCGTTATCATTCATTACAAACAGTGGACCTTTCGTATACTTACTTCTCTTTTGCGTAAGCTAGGCGGTCTCGTTCCCCGTCCATCTTCCGTTTCGGGTCCGTCATCACCTTCCTCGTTATCAACGCTACCCATCGGGGTAGCCGGAGATTCACTTCCACCCTTTATGAAACACAGGTAAGATATTATCCTCGTTAGATTATTAGCACACGAGCCATTTTTATTAAATAAAGGAAGTATATATGAGACTATAATAAATAATGTGTAGCTCAATTTTACACTTAAAGTCGTTAATTAGTTGCAACGGTTTGGAGAAATAAAAAACAAATTCATGTTTTGTTACAATACCAAACTTTGCCATAGTTGCCAGTTATATTGCCTACTCTCCTTACGTTCTGATCGTGGATATATCTAGATTTCAAATTACGTATAATAATATATAGTATAATAATACATTTTCACATTTGAATGGTTTTAATCGTACGTTGCTAAAGAAAGCTTAAAGATTTATTTAATCAACATCAAGGTCCTAGTATTGTAATCGCAGGCAGTAGAAATTTTCAAAGCATATGGATACAATTTAGACTAGTCTAAGAAATTTGCAGATGTGATATTTACTTGGGAAGCGTCCTCTTCGGGATCCTCTTTGCTGACCATTGGTTCGACTGAACGACTGTTTCCGTTACCAGAGGTACTTCCTAGATTACTCGAGCTTGAACTTACGCACGCGACGCAAAGAAGGCCACCGTTATTAGCAGTGCGCCAAAACAGAGATTTTTCACTGCCACACTTAGAACACTCAACCTTGTGCTTAACGCATGACACCTAATAATTGAGATATTAACAAATTAAATAAGCGAATATAAGCATACGTACACTACAATGTACGGCGAATGCATTAGGCACTGAATGTTGTATGAACTGACGAAACCGTGTTATTTTAATTATATTTCTTCAGTATAATTGTATGAAAATTCAATCGAACGACGCGTCTACTTTAATTAAGAGAACAGTGTAGAACGCTGTCAACAACGGTACCGGGCGTTGCGAATGCAGTAAATTGTAGAGAATATTAACTCCTAACACTACTTCGATGAAGCTAAAGCTGTTCTCGTTTACTGTGCTAGAAGTTTGCATTATGACACCATCTAGAAAATTATCTAAACATAGTTTTTACAATCGTCTTTTGAAACGAATCAGTTAAAATACACATACAATATTAGGCCAAATTTCATCCAAACTGGTTATAACAGTAATTCGCTCTTCATCGAAGCATTAAAACGTCATCTTATAAGATGCGGGGTAGACAGAGACCATGCGAAATATATATCATCTGGCATTACACATTGTTACGTGCAGCAAGGATCACTGGATGGCACATTAATGAGATCAAACCTACACGCTTCATGGGTTTTATATCCCCTGAAATATGTTTGCTTGGCGTCCAGCTTGCAGATTCAAGACGAAGTTTGTTGTTTCAACACACCACAAAGCATCAGCAAGTTTCGGTTGACCTCACGGTTATGTCGTTATGGCTTTTCCACTTTTGCACGTACCACTAAACTAGAAATATGAGTCTTGCATTAGAATAAAATGTTACCACGATTTAAAACAAAATTCGATACTAATTACGATTTAAAAGTCCGTTTAGGGCCCTTGACTTAACGGTCGAAACACCTGATATCATCGGTCTGATGATATTTTGTGCGACGTTACCCGGCATCAAATACTCAATTGTGCTTATTATTGGAGAATAAATCAGATTGATAAGTTGAAACACTGTTTTTTATTGTGAAGTCCAAAATTGAAAGGCATCCTAAATGCCTTTACTTGGCTTACTTGCTCCATCCAGTGAACTTGTTGGTCTGTCTCTCTCTTGCTCTCTCTCATGCAGCATCTATTCGCAAAGTTCGTCGTGAATGCCATTTCATAAAGTTGCAACAACTCAAACAGTGAGTCTTGACTATAATTACTATTACCATCAGTACCGCTATAAGGAATAGTACTAACCGTAACGTGGCCCACAGTTAGCTGTTCTCTGTCAGATGAGTTTGATGACTCAGAGCGGGTGTCTCCGTAATTCTCGTTGGCTGCTGGTCCACCTTTCGACTTAGATCTGCAATCGTCTTCAGTTGTTCTCTGGCAAAACCCCTCATTAACATTAGCAGCATCAACACTGCTGTTTCCATCATCATCTGCTCCTCCACTGGTTCTCGTCTCCGAAATGCTTGAAGCAGCAGCAGCAGTAGCAGCTTCTGCAGCCGCGGGCATGGTCGCAGTCGCAGAAGCCACTTCTTCTGCGGCGACCGCTGCGGCCGCTTTCGCAGCGATGTCAGAAGTAGCAGCGGCCACAACTTCATCATCATTTTGCCACTCACCGCTAGCATTAGGTACATCGATGCTTACCACAGATACCGACTCGGTGTCTAACCCTTCCTTCTGAACGAATATCACTTCATTACTGTCACCAGCTGAGACAATACCTTCGGATGATTCTATTTTTGTTTCCATAATTTGCTATGGTTTCGCCACTGACTATGACATAAGGTGAAATTATTCTTTCAATAATTATAATAATAATTGTATTAAGAATATATCAAATGAGTCTTTTACCAGCAGGTCTTCTGTTATTACCCTGCTGTAACTGATACGAGGGTTTTTCTAACAGTTATTAGCGAATCAATAATATCCTGACTCCACTTTTGTAATAAGAAATTTTGCAAGCTGTCGCTGGCTACTGCATGACGCTAATGTCGTTGATGAACATTTCATTAGGACGAGTACGCAATCTATCCTCCTCAAAAGTGCTGAGAGACAATCCATTACATCGAAAAGCACTTCAAAGGAAAACACTCCGGGGGAATATTTCCATTGACGTACAACATTTTGTTCAGAATTCTGTATGCCAGCACATTTAGCAGGTTTACACTGGCACGATACAATGGTGCTTTGCCTCACCATCGATTTGGCTCAGTAACAGACCAATCAGTAAACGCAGTGAATTACACTCGCGCAAACGTTAGAACAGTTCGACATTTGGCTAAATTACTCCGTTTAGAAGACGAATAAATAAATGAATGAATGCTTTCTGCTGTTATCATCAATGGGACAATCTGTGTAAGCCGCCCGAAGAAGAACCAGCTAACGCGTCATCATTATCGACCTTTCAAACTTGGCGGGCTACTTTTACGACTCAGTTTCACAGCCTGCAGTAAGATATCTGAACAAAAGAATTAATTGAGGGCTGTCCTGATAACGAATTAAAATAAATTAGCTTATTTTACGTGCTATAACCTTGGTGCATTTGGCTGAAATTTCCGTTTCTGAAGCATCTTCTTAGTCATAAACTTGTTGTTTTTTTTGGGTTCATGATAATAATAGTTTTTACGAAAAATGTTCAAGCTGCAGGCTGATACTAATCGATGTGTGGATTTGGTAGGACACACTAATACTTAACAAATGAGCTAACCATGTTTAACGTTTAATATTTGTTTTGTTACCCCTCTATGTTTCCAAGTTTTACGTCCGGTATCGCCGTTAGGCATTTCATCAGACGATATCATAGCAGCCTAAAAATAATAACTACGCATTTTCCACATTTTTTTAAAAATGAAAATGCGCTCCTTGGCATTCCGTAAATAATGCTTTTGATACTACCTAAACGTTAACTGTTTGAATCCAATCGAATATCAGTACCTCAAAAGCGCATGCTAGTCAATAGCGAATTTTGGTGCAATGCAGTCCCCTAAAAAGAATGACAAAGTGTACTGACAGCATTTTAATTCTTGTTAGTGGCCGAAGAATCAACTGGTGAGTGGATTAATTAATAGAACGTAGAGGATTAACAGCAGCTTTCTGTGATCCTGGAAAATACAAGTGGAAAGACTGTGAGTACACTCACAGTCGATAAGAATTTTGACAAGTTTATAGACAAACCAAGAAATGCACTAAGGGGCTGCGAAATGCATCTGCCATATACATCGAAATGTGTGCTAGAAATAGCAGTTCCGTGTGGCTAAATGATATTAAATGCTGTGTTGTGATCTTTTTCAAAGGACAAGTGGCGTGTTTGAAAGTAAACTCAAGCGTAGGAAACAGTACCAACAAGTTTCAGACCCAACCAAGGGATGCAGAAAATTAGAAACAACAGGGGCTGGTTCTGCCTTCGACAGTGCTTTCACGATCTGAGGTAACGTGAGATTTTTCGCGACACGAGTGGAAATCACTTTAACTCTCGTGGTAAATTAGCCAGCCTCAAGGATGACTTGCTAGTCCAAACTAGTAAGCTTCGAATCATAAACAACCAAAAAATGCTTAGCTCACGCTTGATCTGTGCTCGCTTTATAAACCAGCTCCCTTGAAACGTCTTGTCTTTAGTGAAGAAATAGAGCGTAAAAAAATGTACAAAATTAGCCGACCACGAGTACATGTTGTGGGTTTCTGTTTGCGTTGTCATGTGTGTCAAATACAAAAAAAACCAAAGATAGCCATAACTTGTTTCCCTATAAGCTATACAGACACGGCGCTATAGGACCCGATTTAGCCAAGGCTTAGCCAAATTGCGGTTTTCTAACAAGTTACACGAATACGATGCTTTAATTTGGTGTGTATGTCAGAAGCCAAGATGGATGCCTTTTGGAGCGAATGTTACGTGCGCACATTTCGTCGGAAGCCTTTTTATGCTTAACCAGAACAAGCTGTTTGTAGACAAACGGGAGTGAAAAAGTCGTTTGATGTGCCAGTGTCTCTGCACTGATGATATGTACATATGTTTATGTGCATCTTCTGTTCTGTAACCTGTGCACTCAGCTCCTTTAGCTGAGGTAAAACACTTTGTGTTGTACCTAAATTAGCGTCGATTCTAAGTGTCGACTAGCGTGCGAGCATAAATGATGCCGTGAGGTGGTGGGAAGCCTTCAAGTTTTAGATATGAGCGGCGAGCTTAAGAGAGCAGAAAGTTTGGTTGCTTTCACAAAGCATGTGAGTATGCTGGCTTGTTCTTGCTATCCACGTAAATGATCAAATTAGCATTCGTAGAATCTGCTACAAGAAGTGTTTGCTTTTTCTCGTTGCAGTTGATTTCCAGACCGAAATACGTATGCTAAACAAGTACGCTGTACTATTTCGAACATTATAATAATCATAATAGTTGATGAATGAGATATAAGGCATAAATATGTCTAGACATGACTAGACTCTTGTCACGGTGTTGCCACTTTCACAATTAGGAGTTTACTCCCCTCGCTTTTGTACAGTGCCAACGTGTACGTTATGTTATTGAGATGCTGGCGAAAGTCGCCATATCCTTTTAGACGAAATCTCTCTTCGAAGGTCAATCCATGTGTTACATTCTCTGAAGTTTTGACTGTTTTGAGCCAAACTTGAAGCGAATACTTTTTTCATTTTAAAATTATATTGCTAAATTAAATATGAGCTAGTTTAATCCATGGCCTTCTGCCACTTTTTTTGTAATACCATAATCCCATAGTTATGGAACTGGCGCTGTTTTTGGGCGAAAGAATGTGACACGTGACTTTTGTATTCGTGCATCAAAACGAAAATAACCCTGTTAAAAAGTCCTGCAGAAACCGAAACAGATGGTAATCCTATGGTAAAGAAGAATCAGGTTGTACGGCAGGTGCATTAGAGCTATCAAATTCTCTCAAGTTTGGCCGGCAAGTTAAAAATATATGTGGTCCAGCGTCGTCATGGAGAAAGATTACACCTTTTGTGTTCATTAGTTCCGGTCGAATTTTTTAATGGCTTGTTATAATCTTGTTAGTTGTTAATAAGGTTATGACAAGCCATTTAAGGTTAGAGGTTTTAACCAATCAATTTACCAGATGGAGACAACTCGTAACGCACGATCTCTTTCTAAACCCTCCAAATATAATTCCGTAATTGGTGGACTTTTAGGGAAAGCATTTTTCATGCAAAAAAAGACAATAATTTGTGGGCCGTCCTTTTCGATAATGCAACTTTATCATAAACAGCATAATTTTTTCATGGATTTGGGCAGCATTTATGCTTTAATCGTAACTAAAATTGTCGTAAAAATTTTTACTGATTTTAAAGCCGTTAGATGGGCTTAGGCCGATAAAGGTGTTGAAATATTTTTTTACTATTTGCTTATTCATTTATTTATTTTACTATGGTACATTCACTATTGCCAAATTTCGGCTTTCAAATGACATCAACCACAAAGAGATTCGACGCGACTCATGCGATCTGAAAAATGTGATATATAGCCATCTAGCTGGGGCAGCGGTTAATACTTTTCGACAATATAATATTTTGTCCTGGAAAAAATTTTCCAGGTGTTCAATGAGGACCATTTATTGATAGAGGCAGTTTCATATTTTTTCGTTTCCTCAGATAGAATGAGTTTAGATGACTAATGCTCAAATGGGATGCATTGCAGATGTTTGAGCGGTACAAACATGACGATGGTAGCTCATTGTTGATGCAGAATCAGGTGTCGACATTATCGAGTTTCGAGGACCCAGTCGAACTGGCTGTGTTTCAAGAGCTACGTGAAATGATTCATTTTAAAAACGAGTTTGAAATAGCTCGCTTTACTCCAACCCGGATGGAATACTGGCAATCACCCGTAAATGTTCAGGCCTTTCATTTCGGCGCCAGTGACATCAAGAAACCATCATCATTCCCAGCAATAGTAAAAGCAACAGCACATATCACGTCTACCGCTCAGCCCCAGCAAGATATTACGTTCCCGGCAGATCCGGTCAATGACGCCGAATTTTACAGGTACACGCTAAAACACTATTTTTTTGCATTTGTCTATTATAATTAAAGCTACTAAATTAACGGAATGTTTAAGTATAGATTTTTCAGAAATGGAATCTCCATGTAACTACAGATAAGAAAGTGAAGCAACTGTCAATAAGCAGCCGTTAAACGCATCGCGTATTGGAATTGGCTAACATTTACGCAGGTGGTATTACACGTACCTTATCTTGAAAATAACAGAACAGTTTTCAAAAAATTTTATGCTGTATTACCTTACGTTAAAAGGTAGGACAAATGAAACGTAGCTCATCTAACTTTATATTTAAGAGCAATACGAGACACATTACCTCCATTACAGTACAGAATAGTACGAAAGGTGAAACCGTTCATGTATGAAGAAGCGGTATCAGCATGGAACAACTCCAAGATTGCTAGGCGGCACAGATACTAGTTGCATTATGTTCCTGTTGATTCTGTATAGTGTATTGCTGATTGACTATATAGAACATTATGCATAAAAAATGATAATTTTATAAATTCTACATAAAATCCTTTGATAGTTGGTTTAACAGTTAAAAACGATAATTATATTAGCAATTTTTTTAGCTTTATACAGTTTGTTTGTTTGCTTCTTATATAGGAAGTCGAGAAAATTCAGATGAAAGATCCTTCGATGACTTCGAATTGGCTAATAAGAGAAGAAAAAATAATTTGGAAAGTTCCATAGGCGCTGGTTCTCTTCCCTCACGAATAGATGGGTTTCCTTTGTACGCCTCTTTCCGCACTTACAATTTTAGCTAATTGATTTGAACTTTTTCGTTGCAATCGCAGTTAATAGAAATTCATACAAATATTATTGTTAGATTACAGAAAAAGGTCTGCCTGCCTGTGAGTCACCGTCTCATAATGGAAAACAGCTTAATGCGTTGCGAGGCATCAGACCACGAGAGTAATGCGGAGGATATACCCAGTGGTAAATTTCATACACTCTCTATGTTTTGAGCTTTACATTCGGTGTTACCGTTAGGTATTTTATCTGACAGCTGGCTACTACCACGAAATAAAATCTGTCTAAGCTCGGGTTCGAATCTAGACCATCACGTATCCTTACAGTCAGCAAGCAAATACGTTACCCACTAAGAAAATCGCTTAGCCTAGGAAACCAGTTTCAATTTTCGGCGCTATCAGCCTGTAATCTGGCAATTTATGATCCCTTGAGTTACATATTTCCTTGAAACCGAAGTTATCGTCGAAAAATGCAGCGGAAGCACCACTAGGCTTTTTGTTGTTGTATAATTGTCCATATGATTTCGTTGATTTGAGTTAATATCTCTAAAATCCTAGAAGCAACACGTTGTATGAAGTATCATATAGATTGCTTGAGACATTTGAATTGTCTCAGTTTGAAGTTTGATTTGACTATGCTAGTATCTTATCGAAAATATATGATTGGTGAGCTTCGCCAGCTTCACTTGGACACCGTGGCATGGTTTAATGTTTACGCAGATGCTGCAGTTGCTCAGTAATGTGTCACCGCAAGTTTAACGAAGCTTCTTTTTCTGGATTCCAGATGACGACTTTGAGGAACTTCGTACGTATTTCGTCTGCCGACTGATGATTTAATGAGTTCTTACTCGCGATGTATACTGTAATCTGTTTGTAATCTTCTTTTACAACAAGCGTTATATGATGTATAACCTCTCTTAAAGAAGTGTGATTGTTAAACAGTTTGCATTTGCATGTCAGCTTAATCTGATGCGAATTATCGTACGGTTACTTTTTTTTGTAATTTTACGCCGCAAAAGCATTCTAGTATTTGTGACTAGTAAAAAAAGCTAGATATCGTGCGAATCTGTACACCGCCGGACATCCAAGTAATACACTCTTGGTGTACTTTTAATGTCAACAATGTCGACTATGCCTGCATAGAGTCTAAACGTTTATTGTAAGTAATATAGAAATGCAGCAGAAAATTTCCGATTGCTTGCTTAACTTAGTTCCTGTTTCATGAACCCGTATGCGCACGTATATTTCACACCAACTATGCCCACAGTAAAAATAACGCTATTTACAAAAATGCAATGTCACATTTTGCAGTGACAGAGACGTTACAGCCGTTACCGCTCGATCAAATGGTAAGATATACATAATGAATTTCGTACAAATATAGTTGGTCATGTTTTTACTAAACTAGTAAACTCACTAAGTTAATAGAACTTTACTCAATAGCTATTTTGGGAAATTCGATAAATAGCATCCTTTAATTAAAGCCTTACCGACAATATATGTCTTATACATTTCTCAACTGCCACCAAAAGTTTTTGCTGTTACGACTTTTTTTAGAGTATATAAAAAGTATGGTTATTCAATATTTAAATTCGAGCATTGGGTGTGTATAAAATAGGCTCATAAAAATAGTGAGGTTGAACGAATCAACCGACTTCGATTAATTTTACGTCGTAATCATAACAAGGTAAAAATAAGAGTCTCCGGCTTCTCGAATGCTCATTTTTTTGTGATAAAATGTGAATTTTTTTTCGCAAAAGCTTAGCGCAATATGCTTGGACCGTTTTTGGCCTGAAAGCATGCTTTTTTTTTTTGTATCACAATTGTATCGTTAGGAGCCAGACGACATGGGGGCTTCTATGGACGAAAGTGCGCCTGGGTCTACTACCACTAGTTCATCATTTTCTGAAGACAAATCGATGGACACTGTCATACATGTAAAGAATATCAGCTGTAAATTTCAGTCCAGGACACAGCTTGAGAAGGCGGAAAGCGTCATGCTAGGCTTAGTTGGAGACGCTGCTTGTTCGAAATCAAATAACGATGCGAACAATAGGAAAGATCATAAAAACTTCCATATAGCAAACGATTCGGTAAATCTCATTTTTCTTTTTTGTCTGCTAAACACAGTTACTGTGTATAAGCAAAGGCTAGTTGGCTCAATCGAATTGTATGGACTTACCGACTCCAGATTGTCCGGAACAGTACATTTCATTAAGTTATTTTAGGTCATTATTTTGAGGGTATTATGTAAATGTTGTTCACGGGCGCTGAGTTTCACATCTAGGCAATTACCACGGCAGTGTCGTAAGACTGCTAAGTTCACCTCATGTTCCTCCTGTCCCCGATTCTGGATTTGTACTTGTTTTGTTCAACTTTGACTGTGATGAGCCCTAACGTTACCTAAACTGTTCTACACACAAGATTATTAAGAAAAAGAAGATTAAATAATTAAATTTTACATGTAATATAATATATAGTGAATTATTAGATATCAAAACACAGTCGAGAATCTCATTCTACTAGTCCAGAATTTCCTTCCTACGCATTCATGTCACCTCACTGATTCAATCGACCCAGCTGTATCGGCCAACCTATACTATGTTTTGAAATAATTCGATCTTTAGGCGAAAAAATATGAAACTTTCTGTGAACACAGTCATCAGAATACATACTCGGTAAGCTGACTATGTGTTTTATTTTTTTAGAGCGTAGTGATTTATTCCGAATTCAGACCGACTTCAAATTCAACCTTGCATGAACAATCAACTGGTAACGAACTTAGAAGAGATAACAAGAGCGCCTTAACGTTGGCTCAGAGACGACTGCAGAAATTAAATATTGTTGTGCCAACGCTAACAGAAGGTAATGTAAATTAGTAATGAATAACATTATTTCTGTGCCGGTTAGAATTACAAATAAAGGAGATTTCAGTAGCTTCAAATGTATCAAAGGCAATTTAGTTAAACATGTATTGTAACCGCTGCTACGACATCTATAATCTTGCAAACAATCCATCCTTTTTTGAACATACACTTTGTCTGGCTAGGAGAAGGATCAGCTTAATACTAGCCCTGCATATGAATTCCGTTAACTCGGTTATTAAGGTATAAGTAACCCTTAATTTTTTATTATTATTTCCAGCATAATTTTCGACTATACGATCAAATGTAAGGCAACTGCCACTTTTTACTCAATATGAGTTGAATCGGGTCAACTAGCAGACAACTTGAGCAATTTGCCATACCTTTTCGCCTTCAAAGCAACAAAGTATTCCAAATTGTTTGTCACCGCCATTATTTTTTAGCATTATTAGGCTACGGTAACAGCAATGGAGTTAGCTTTTACCAAAACAAAACCTGTTGAAGATTTATGAGTTGCATCTTACCGGAGGGGAAGGGGTACCTAAGCAATCCCTTCTAAGCAATTTTGCAGAAAGATTCCACCAAATCAAAATAACTAAAGAATTCATTATTATATGAACTCGCTGTAAAAAAATATATATATAGAAGCAGTTTAAGCAATTCGAAGACGTGTTTTTTTTTGTTTTGAAAATATGTTCTAAAACCCTTAACAGAGTACGGCATACGGAGTCAGTTAAAAAGTACCTTATATAACCTTCAATGCCTTCATAAAAACTAATTGCTTAAATTGGAAACTTCTGTGATTTCGGTAACGGCAAATACTGTTTATAAATAGAGAAGACGTAAAGACTGAACTTGAATGCGTACAGCGTACTGTTTTGCAAAATATTACAGAAGGCAATAGACCAATTTCGGCCGAACCTGAAAAATTGAAGATTTGTCAACTACTCGCATCTTAAGACCTGTTTGAATGCTTCGAGGTCAGACTTCCCTATCCGATGCAGATAGTTTTAAAAATTGATAACATAACGTTAACATAATAGTGTGTTAATGTTATTTAGTGAGAAAGCATCATTTGAGGATCCTCTTTATGGCCCGTAAAGCGGTGAGAAAACTTAAAAGTGAATTCATTTATTTGAGAATACCGACAAACAAATGGTGCGTACTAAGAAGTCTGTACTAATTTACTAACTAATTGTATTTGCTTACCCTTAACTTTTTCAGAACAAAAAAGTCAAAGACAGGCTATGCTCACATCGATCGGGAAAGATTTTTCGCAGGTATATAAATTTCGGCTGCATTTCGCTTTTTTAATACTCAATTTAACAAAAAGTACCATATTTATTCGAGGTTGGTAATACAATCTATAAGTTACCTTCTGCTTGGTTCATTCAGCATGAACAGCTACGCAACGGATTAATAGTAATGCAATGGTAGAAAATGATTACACACAGAATCTACTATTTATAACACAAAATCAATCTGCAATCCAGTATCTATAACGCAGTGATTTTTTCGATAATAAAAACAATGCTAACATTATGCACGATACCTAGTTTAAACAAACTATATGCGCATGGTATGAATGATACGAACTCATACGATAATTAGCAAGTATTCCCGAGCAACTATTGTTTTATTGTGTATCTTGCAGGTTTCGAAGCAGCTTCAAAGCAGGCGTAGTCTCAGCTGTTTCGTTCAATGGGAAAAAATGACAAATTAACAGTTACGAAGCATCTGACAATGCATATTATGGTCGAGATACGATGAAAACGGCGAAGAAACTTAGCTGAGGCGAGACTTCGCAACCAATAGCTTTAATTTGTATGAAAATAATCTAGAAATCATAAAGTGCTATTTCTTAACAAAACAAAGCTACATAAAGTTTTAAGTTAGTTTTGTTTTTCATGCACTGTTATTCACTCAATTTTATTTAAAACATTGTTATTTTTATTAGGGTTCAAACAAATACCCGAAGCTGTGAAAATGTTTAAGCAAAAGCTTTTGCTAGAGGACGCGCAGTAGCCAATTCGGTATTGCGTAATGCACGAACAGCTACGTTCGCTACAACTAATCTGTGATATGTTTTTGTGTTTGTTGCAAAATAAAATGTATTATTAATACTACGCTCATATCGAACGCATGTCCACTATTATCGCTACATAATGAAGACTCTTCGTACTGAAAAGCAGGGATACATTTCCTTTGGTTTTATGTTCTTTACTTTCCGAATCCTTGGTGCGCTCGACAGTCTAATGAAAAAAAATTTTGGAAAAATTTCCATAGATAGAATTCGGGTGGCTGTTATTGTTTTTTAATTATGTCTTTACTGAATATTTTTGATGTTTTTGACAAACTGACAACAATCTATGAAAAAGTTTCTTAGCATAAAGCCTTTAAAATTGCCTAAAAGGACAGCAACTGTAGCATGGTTCAAATCTTCTTATACATTACGTACGGAAAAATGAGATTTTTATTTAATTTAGGAAGGCACTTCAGGGCAATTAATAAGTCTAATCCTGATATTAAGCAACTTCATTATCTGTTCTTCACATAAAAATTTCAATTTTTTAATTTTTTTTCAAATATTTATTTTTTTTTTGCTTCAACTCGCTCTCCATATACCAGAATCTTCCTCTTCTTTAGGTAGTAGGATATTCTTACTGTAGAATACGGCAATTTAGAGGCCCTGTTAAGTGATAAATGAAGTACCATTATTCTTTTCTCAATTTAGAGTCTATCAGTCATCGATGGTTTTTACGTCGTTTTAAGTTAGTGCGTTCAAGCGGGACAACCTTCTCAGCCGATTGGTGAAACACCTCCCTTACATAATTATTTCTGCGTAACTTATTTAGGAACGGGCATAATTTATTTTAGTTGGCCAACACATTTTATTTAGAAAGAACTCAGTTTCGTTTCTTTTTTTCTTCTTTCTTCTTTTTCGTACTTTAATTTTTCGACCAACATTATATGGTACATACAGCCTTAGATACGTTTTTTGTTTCAATTACTTAGATAAAATAAGTACTAAGCTTTTAAAGGAGAAAGGATCATTTAGACGATCCGCGTTTTATTATTGCACTTGTCTATAGTAGCGAAGCTTCTATGAAACTGAATTCGCCGATCTTCAAAGAGGCCTTATTCGGGTTTACGCAGGCAGTCAGGTGAAAGGGGGGGGGGGGATCAGACGGGGCCAGCAAGAGAGCAGCGTTTGCTGGCACTGGGCCATGTAAGGAGTTGTCTAACTACTGAGTTCTCCCAGCTGCGCCTCAGCTAAATCAAGGTACAAACAGGTTCCGTGTAACATGTGAACAGAGTAGTTCAAGCCGTAACTGTGCAGTGTTTCAAGTGGTAACTTCAATTGGCAATATGAGATAGCTTCTGCCAACTCTTGCATATTTTTCTTTAAGCAAACCAATTGTGGCACATGAAAATTACATCAAAGGTACAGTGACGTTTGTTTTCATTTATCGTAAATAATCTAAACGCGGGTGGAGTTTATATTTATCCGCTTCGTGTCACTGTTGATCTACCTGTCGGCTTTTCTTGTCTTGCCTAAATTAAATATTGTAATAATCTATGGAAAAGACTAGGCATTGTTGTTTCAATTTCTACTAGCAATATATAAAAACTATATAATCCTGGCGAAATAAAATAGATTATTCTTAACAACTGTAGTCCCCGATTTATTTGATATGGAACAAGTTATTGACAACAACTTTGCCTCTTTGCACGTATTTTTTAGAGGTTGTCAGTGAGTTTAGGTTACGGAACGCGATTCTTTTTTTGTATCATTCTGTTACATGCATACGACTGAGTTAAATACTGCCAATAGCGCCCGAAATAATATAAGAAACTTTTAGAAACAATCAACAAAAAAGAATTAATTTGGCAATAAAAGGTAATCAATTTGATAGCAACAGACCTGATCCATTTACATTACGCGCTATGCTAAAAAACATCGTAGGGACCATGCAATATTATATATACGTATGCGAAGACCTGACGAAGGAGTACGCACACTAATAAAAAGAACGTATATACTAATAGAGTAACATATTTTTTAGTTAGTTGAGGAGTTTTGTATAAGTATTTAGACAGTGCCTAATTTGCGTCATGATCGAACCAAAAAGTGGGCATGCGCTTCATTTAATTACTCTCTGTTTACGTAAACAAACATTGCATATGTGCGTCTGATTAGCTAGCTCCGCCGCGAAAGGGTCATTTTCAACACTACACCTTTGTAGTTTGTCTTCCTTAGAAATGTAGTAATATGGCACTGTTTTGGTATTAAAAATGATAACACCCTACAAGAGCTATCTACTCTTTCGCGATGACCCACAAGGTTACTCAATTAGTCATATTTCTCTAACAGTCCCTTATATTATGTTCACCGTCAATTTGGACTAATTTAGTTAAAATTCTATCAAATAATAGATGTCGATGCCTTCGTACGTTCTTATCGGCGCGTTTGCTATACTTTGCGCATTACTGTCACTACAACAGCTTCTGGATCTGCCGTCGAATCAGTGTTCCATGACGTATATGCCGGTTCCGCCACAGTACATTGTAAGTATGAAGGATCAAATTCTATTGTTTGAACACACTTTGATGGCTATTTTATTTCACATTTTTATGTGAAGAATCTGTTTATGGACTGTGAATAACTAAATTACAGTATACGGGCCTAAAAAGATGGGGAACATATACTAGATTATGTCCCTCCGTGAGTACTTTACTCATGTACGGTAGCAATAGGTTTGTTTTTAAATAAATTTTTACAACAACTATATGAATGCTATTGTATTTACTCAGTGGGGTCCAAAATAAGGGTAACAAATATATACGTTTCCTCACGTATTGAAGAATTAAGGATTGATTGTAGTGATTCAGTTAGCGTTAAACCGCTTCATTTTTAAAAGGCTGTTTCAATGCATTCATCATTGTTCACATTTCAGGAAGTTGATCTGAATGAGAATGTGACCAAGAAATTTCCTCGTTATAAATTGCTACTCTATGGAGAAGGGTAAATTAATATGCAAATATGTAGTTTATGAATGATAATAAAGTTGATGTACCATCCATAACATGAAAGAAGATTAAATTTTAAAGCCTTTGCAGATACAATGTGGATATGTCTAAATGGGCACTCTGAAATCGAGCAGTTTGTTGGACTAAAGATGGTAATACAAGGAGGATATGTTTACGAAACGGGACAGATAAAGACGTTTGTATCTCTCTGTCTGTTATATTTTAGTGTGATAGCTCGGGAGTTGCGCAGATCAGTGCCGAATGGCATTCCTCTCGTGTTCATACATGGCAACGCAGGAAATCCGGGCCAAGCGCGGTCTATTGGCTCAATCTTACAGATGAAGGCCGAAACGAGAAACAGGCTGGGTTTACCTATTTACTCGGTTTACACGATCGACTTCAACCAAGTTAGACTCATTGTGTCGCTACAAAAAATAAGATGATTGATTAAACATTTTTCCTATAACTAGTTTCTATTTTGTTTAACCTTTCTAGTTAGAAACTATCGTTACTTAAGCCACGAAATGATATGAGTCCTTTCTGATTTGACAAAGTTATTACAAACCGGGTGTTTTTACTTACATCGAAAAATTATACACAAAAGAATTTCCCTCAGATAGTTAATCTAATTTTTTTTGGCTTCAAGCAGGAATTGTCCGCCTTATATGGGGGAGTACTTTCACAACAAGCAGAATTTCTTTTGGAATGCCTTCGCGTAATAAGTAAGAACTGGAACCTTATCCATCCACATACGGCTCCTCGAATCGTATTAATTGGTCACTCCATGGGCGGGGTGGTCGCTCGCAGTCTGTACCTTCACCCTGACTTTGACAGGAGTTTAGTCGCACTACACGTAGAGTTGGCCAGTCCCTCTCGACGCCCGGTAGCGTACCTGGATCGCAGTCTGTGGGAGTTTTACGAACGGATAAACCAAGTATGGTTGCAGGTCGGCCATGTTTTACCCCCTGTACTCAGCGTGATGGGCGGGGAACGGGATCTTCAAGTGAGTTGTTAAATTCAAAAATAACTATGCGAGGAACTTGATAATAAAATGTTGATATAAACATCGTGTATGTATCCGATGTTTGCTTGCGTATTGACGACGGGCGCAGTATACTTTTCATATTTAAGTAAAATAATTTTCTAATATCATTTGTAGGTCCGTGCAAACTTAGGAGACTCTCCTCAAGGCCTACGAGTGCTTTCTGAGTCGGTTCCACAGTGTTGGGCTTCCACCGATCATCTGTGCGTTGTCTGGTGTAAGCAACTTCAACTGGCACTATCACGAGCTTTATTCGATATTGTTCAAGAAGGCTCTATAATAGATGACCGTGACCGTATCATTAAGATCCTAAATTATCACTTTGTTCGGAAGTTTGCCCTGCATAATTCACTTCAGACGCTACCAAGATTGGCACGAACTGTCGCGTTTGCTCAGGGCCGTGAATGGCAAGAAATGTTTGAAGGGTCCTGGCGTTATGTTAAGAAAAAGGTCTTGACTGGTGTTTCGCTTGTTGTGCCGGTTTACAAAGAGTTATCAATCTCAATCGTGGCGCATGGCTTAGAAAACGATGACTGGCTGTTTGGATGTACTCGACTGAAGCGAGACGGCACGACCGTCATTTGTTTAAGCGGCGTAGATATCTCCCGCAAAAATCTTCTTGTACCATCAGTGGCAACAAGACAGGATGTGATGTTCGAGACGATAAACAGAGATACTGGCCGAGTGTATCATATTACGCCGGCTGAAATTGTTGCTCGAAACTTTCAAGCGCTTGTGATCAATGTACCTGCTCTAATGGAAGGGGCCGTCATATTGGGCGAAAGGTTCATTGCCAGAAAAAGGGAAAGGACATTTGACGCTACTGTGTTGTTCAATGGATTCTTTCAGAAGACGACTGTGATCTCGATGCATCTTTCAGAGAAAGCCATATTTCAAAAATTCACCCTTATCGGCATGCAACATCTGTGGCAGGTAAGCTACAGTTTGAAACAAAGGGTATCGAATTAAGCCATTTGCACTACAGGTCTTCGCTACGATCTACGCAACGTATAATTCAGCGTACGGCTGACAGATCGGGTAACTGAGATGCTCGAATACGTATTCGGGCAAATGCCGAGCAAGATTAGTACAGGCACTATACAAAAAATACATAAGAAACAAAGTAAAAATAGAAAATGCTGTCATGCGACAATTGAACGTTCAGATACATAATATCGCTAAACGCAAGCGATACTTTTGGACTTCTAACATGAATTAAAATGACGAAAAAGTGCAGGATTAATTCTATTTAGGGTAGGAGCTAGAAAAGTCAGTTAGTCATCTTCACTCATAACATAAGTTTTTAAGGTATCCCTCTAGCTCACAACTTCTTGATTCTTACCTGAGCTTTTATAGCCCTCCTATTAAAGCCTCATATACTGTACTATTAATAATTACCCTGAATGTCTATTCAAACACATGTTGTTTAGGTGTACACGATAAAGGTGCACAGCAAACTATGCTTGGAAGGCACAAGTGGAGCTGGACTCGCCCGCTTCAAGCCGGACTGGTCTCATGAGGAGGTGTTCTTCCACCTCCAAGCACGCGCGAACTCCATTACGACATTCATCCTGCGATTGCATAGTACCCCAAATCACCAAGAGAACCACAACTCAACCGTGTACTTCTACCTGGATCCTAACTGCTCATATGATGTACATATACAGTTTGATCTCAAAACAGCTCTCACACAACTTCTTGTTCACCACGCCGAAGGCCTCTTGTCTTACTCTTTAGCATTAGTGCTTATCGTCATCGCACGGCAGCTCGCTGACTTGGGTCAGTTGGGCATTTGTTTCACCTTCGGCGATTCGCTTTCACGAAGCTCGAGGTTCTTCGCTCTGACCCTATTACCCACGTTGATAGAAGCCATGGTTTTCTTGCCTACATCTCCTGCTCCATTGGCACCGTACCTGAGTCGACTTCCAGGAACCACATCTTCGATGGAGGGCTGTGCTATCCGAATAATGTTATATTCCTTAGCTCTCGGCATTATTTCGTTACTGGCCAAAATACTTGAGCTAGTATTGAACCTTTGCTCTACCTGCTACATCAAAATGAAGAAAATGATACGTCAATCGTGGGACGATCCGCGAACGATACCTCAGGTGAACGAAAACGCAACATCCAGACCACTGACAGCAACCCTTGTGGCAGTTTCAGCCTTAGCTATCGGTGTAGGAGGAGGTATCGGACTTGTCGCGGCAGTTGTTGTCCACTTTGTTCAGGTGATTTTTCTTTCGACCCATTTTTTCAATCCCTTCTTCATGGTGTAAGTAGCAGGGGGTATCCTAAAAATATTCGCCAAACTAAACATTTTCGTATATTCGCATCATTTGTGCATAAAACGATATATTTATATTATTGCCTCAATTTGCAAACCGTATTCATTTTGGTGGTGTGAAGAAAATTTATATCAAAATGTAGCATAGCGCCAGGTAGCTACTCTATTTCGTTATATTCCGGTCTCGGTGAAAATTTTTTTTGTACGCACAGCAACACAGGGATGACCAACTCCAATGCATATGAAAGAAATTATTTTAAAGCCTATATTCTCCTTTTTTTGGAGTCATTAGGTTTATGTTGTGCTATTGTACGTAATGTCTGCAATAACGTGAGTTATTATGCCTTTATTCACAGGTGATCGTACTTTCGTGCCAGAATCGGTTCCTTGAGGATCGCAAGGGAGTATCAGCCTTTAGCTCCCGTTGGAAGCTGCAGACAAGTCTTTTGCTGGTTCAGTTGCTCTGTTTACCTCTCTATGTACCCTCAGTGATCGTATGGATCCGCCAACACCTGGTGCCACTTGCCAATGATCCGTATCTATTCTCGGCGCCAGTTTGTATATTTTTTGCTACGGTGGTCACCCAGCCGAACGTGCCACATCCTAATAGGTGAGTGCACTTTTTCATATCGAACATGCGCTTGACGAAGTACCGATCATCGTAATGAAGTATGACATTGTATCGTGGTAACTTTTTCTATTCACACAGATTGTGTAGCGTGTGTCGTTGGAAGGACATGAACAAGTAATCTCTCTCTTTTAACCAAAAAGGCTTGACCGTCTAAGTCTTCGCGTCGATGTTATATTATGGTCGCTGAGAGCGAGTGGAACATATGGTGAACTGTAGAACCACACCACAGTCGTTTTGTACTTTTAAATGTAAAAGTGTTTAAAAATAAAACATCAGCTTTTCAGTGCAAAACGTACAAAGATCATCCAAATCTATTTTGTCGTTTCAAGGTACTCCATAACCATATACGTTAACGAATCTGAAAATCCTTACAGTGCAGTTTTTATGTTATTCAAAATTGATTACTTTAAGTAAATCTGATAGTTTAGCAAACGTATTAAGTATATTATTCCAATGTTGCCTATTTTTTTTTGTTTTTCAGGTATTACTACAAAAGTATGGGCTACTGTGTATATACTTTAGCCATTCTAAGCGTCCTATTATGTAAGGAAGCCTTATTCCGGATGAACTACATCCAGCTGATAGTCTTTGGTCTCCTTTTTTTCCAGCAAAATTTCAAGCCATAAATTGTTATCACTAATCTGAAAATGCGACTAGGCTCAAATAAGGTAATGCTTGTTTAGCGGAGAAGTTACGTATTTTGCCCATGTAATCCGTTTATACCAGGCGTGATCTACACCGGCGGTCAGATAAATGCTAAGATAGGTATAAAAAGCGCCTCTGCTGTAACCGCGTCGCGAATCTGACAGATTTTCATCATTCATTTCTTACACTAATGTTCATTTGCGGCAAACATAGCCGGCATAATATTGAAAGGTGTCCACGTTCCGTTGCATCTAGTTTAATGAATTACAGTATGTAACGGCAATGTAAAGCTATAGATATACAGCATAGCTAGTCTTCCGTTATGTATAGCTGTTTTAAAATTGAATTTTAACGCTATCAGTGGCTTATTACTTGACTCTGATGTTTCAAGACGGAATATGACTGTGTGTGTCATTGATAATTCAATGGATACATGACTACCGCTTACACCCAACAAGTAACCGTCATTGTTACTACTTAATTAATATCGATAATTAGAATTAACTTTCGTTCGAAACCCAAGATGTTGTACACATATCCTGATAATGTAGCTGTGCACATATTTATGGGTAGAACTCTGTAAAACACAATTCGAAATTTAACTTCATTCAGTTTTCATGGGAAAAATCATGTGATAATCAAAGCTCTGTTTGAAGAGATCTCTAATCGATGTTCCGAGCTTCAATACAACCTCCTCGGGACATGCATCTTGGGAATACATTTATTATACCGCCAATTGAATTTTAAAATAACATAGTTTTTACATTCAATTTTTAATTTACTTTTTACCAAATATTGATGAAGTGAAACTGGTTTCGTGTGAAGTGAAACTGAAGGTATCCGAAGGAAAACTGATTCGCAACTGGTGCCTCATCCATATAATTATGTGTGAATTTTTATTTTGCATTAGAAAGTATTATATATGTATATATATATAGGATTAGGGTACCTACTTTCATATATGTATTATTGCAACGGGCGAATCTCAACCGAAACTGCCAGAACGATACCCGGCAGACTTACGACTGGAAGTTTTTCGGACACGTTTGAAGTTTTTCGGCCACGAGGAAACCACAATAAACCGTTAGAGTCCTTATTCTATAAACACATTATGCTTATACGGTATACACAGTTTGCCGAATGACTTTTCACTTAAGCATTATAAATAGAGTAAGTTATTACACTTACTTAATTACATTGTAAAAATGCAAAGTTATACAGGCAATGAATTTTAAATGAAAAATATTGACATTTTAGCTGAATTTCCTCTCACACCCTGCGCATGCCCAATAAAAGAAGAAGGAAATCAGATGTGCGACTAATAAAAAGACAATCATTAAACTTCAATTATTGATTGTATTTGATATTTATTGGTCGCATATTGCTTCTATTCACATTGAATTGATGACGAGTGGTCGTTCACTGCTGTTATCACAACAGTGAACGACCTGAAAAGGATGAGGTATGACACCAAAATGGATGCTGCCAGACAACTGATAACCTATGAGTTTGCCGCGACCTCTGCCAAAGCAGTCGACTGAGATGAGCAAATAAAATATATATATATATATAGTCGTGAGTGAAGTTGGCAGGAATAGTTGCGTTGTATACAAAAAGTTCAGTTTAGGGAACGCACGGCGCTATAGAAGATATCACCCAGACAGCTAGGCCCAGCATACCATTCTCACGAATTCCATCGACTTGACCTGCCAGTAAAAGTCCTTGTCTATTCTCTCATTTCGCCATCTTCCTCCTCTTCCTCGGAACCCCGAACGTACAAGACGTTGTTACATCTGAATGAAGCAAAAAGTCAACAAAAAATGAAACAATTGAAATGCATCATATGATGTGATGGAATCCAATTCCGTATTCCAAATTCTTACCTCGTCCTATCATTTGCCCTTCTTAAGCCACTGTATCTTCAAAAACGCTGAAGCTACAATATCAAAGATATTACCAGATAATTCAAAAAGTATTAATATTGTTATTATTAAAGTACTAATATTATTATTATCCTCACATTTTCTATATAATAGAACTAATCATTTTAGATTCACCAGTGACAATTAGACATAAGTACCTCTAAAGATCTATCCAAATATAAAGCAGCAGCATTTTCAATTTTCATACGAAAGAAAACTTAGAAGAAAGATACGAAAGAAACACGCCATTAGCACAGGGTTCAATATTGATGGATCCGGAATGGTTACAGAAAAAAAAAAAAATTAAAAACCTTACCTAACTAGAACTTCGCCAAGGCTTCCAGTGCAATTTCCATCGATGAACTCCTCTGTGTTGGCCAGTTGTAAGTTCATGTAACCATCAACGGATACCAGGTAGCCTTTGTACTCCATACCCCACTTAAGCTTTACGATCACGGGCTTACCTGTAAAACACAGTAAGATCAATACAAAGTAATTCAATATTTTTTAAAGAACCACACAATGTAAACAACCAAGGGCCGTAGTTGTGTATTGAGGTAGGGATGCACGCCTCCTTCTATAAGACAAGTTTTCCTGCTGCGTACGCCTAAAGGTTGAAGGTCCTAACTCCTTTTTTTGAATCTTTGCAGCATGTGAACCTCAGAAGAAGACTGATTACTGTGTTTAGAAAACGAAAGCACAAGTCAACCATTTACGTTTTTAAATCTCACAAACTTCATAAATAACAATGTATTATCAATCTCGAAAATTTTGCGTTTGAGAACAAAAGTAAAATACAAGCTCAGTCTGTCATTTAAAAATGTATCTGAGGACAAAGCAAGAGCTGCAACGTAATTTTCAATCGCAACTAAAGATTGCTACAGAAGAGCATATCATCCAGACGATGTATCATCATCACAATGTCATCCCCGGATCGGCCGAAAGCCTGCCGAATCATATAAGCACACCTAACCTAGGAAGGTTTTTAGAAGTTAGTCGCATTGTCAACTTGTTTAGAATAAAGTGCCGCTAGAATTTCAAAATTTAGCATTTCAAAATCACGTAGCATCTAAGACGATGTATCGGTAATCAATAAAAAATCCCCGATTCTAAGAAAAGCTGCGCATTTTCACTCACCTAAGTAAACAACGAAAAACAGTACTGAACATGAGAACAGAATCATCACCTAGTAATATTCAATTGGTCTGTCTGGATAGTCTTACTGGAACAACAAGAAATGAGTAGTTCCGTTGAAACAAATCAAATTACAAATTGAAGAATATTGCAAATAAGCTAACAGATCGTGTGCAGAGACGAACTTACCGGTTAAACCATTCAAAAAGGGCTTTGGATTAAGTGGGAGACTAGCCATCCTACTGAAACTTCACTCGTCCGATCTATATTCAACTAAGAGACACAAACAACGCGTCACAAGTTAACCACTGGTGAATTATAAAAATATCGTTTGCACCTCTCAGAACACAAACGTTTCGTTCGATTAATGGCGCGTGCTAGTCGTCTGCGAACATTTTATTTAAAAACAGTGATCTTGCTTCAGAGCACATGATGGGGAAGTCTTTAAGGTGGACGTGGATCGATCAGAGAAAGGCAAAAAACGCCGTGTTTTTTGTGTGTCTTAATATTCGACGACTGTCTGAACCACTGGCATTGGTTCGAAACATTATCTGAGCTAAATGGTCACCCCTAAATGAGAAAGCATAAACCCAGTTACAGATCTCGCATACTTGCAGAGTAGAGAATTAAAACAAGTCACATTTACATTTTATAAAGTTTGCACAGGACATTAACCGGATTCAATATGATTCAGAAGTTAGTTTTATAAGTGCTTACGTATCACACAATAACCATTTCTTTTTTTTTTATTTATATACCTTCATTTAGAGTTGATTGCCACTAATATGAACTTTTAACAGCTATTGCGATTCTGTATGTGATGCGACATGAATAACTATCTCTATTACATCGAATAAATATTTGTGATTTTGGAACAGGAAGATTTCAAGCATAGAAACAAAAAATAAAACATTTTCATGCTTGGGACAACTTATAAACAAATAGCAAAGATTATTATTATTATTATGACTGCGAACAACAGTTTCATAATCTGTTATGTAATCATCCAAAACATGAAAAACAATGAATATATACAACAATGTTTTGTAGAAACTGTTCGAAAATTCACCTATATGACAACGAAAACAAACAATCTCAATGACCTCGGTATTAAACAACAAGCATAAAAAGTCATGTACATTTGGTGCAACATTTGGAAAACAGGATATTATAGAATATTATAATAGGTAAGAAGCAGGCAAGAAAGGGACTGTGTGCGCACACACCTGTAAACAAGGTTGCACGTATGTATCTGCAGCCAAACGAGTCACGCTGTTCGATTCGAAAAGGAACTTTTTTGTTTGAGAAAGAACCTAGGTCGATCTGAAGTAGCCCTCCAAATCATGTTTAGGACAGATAGAGTTTCAGTACAATTTTACTATGGTATATACAGCTACGGATAACTAACTGCCCATGCTGCTCGCACCAAGCGTCTGCTCATATGCGCTATAGTCAGTTATGAGCTAAAATTTAGTTAGCGCTGCTCCTTATTTTCGCTGAGGGTATGGTGATAATAATAAACGCTTTGGGACATAATTGTGAATTATTCAGAGGACTATGGGAAGTTCAAAAAAATAATTTTAGTGATTTGCGAAAAACAAAAATTAACGAATGCATGTGACAAACGCGTGAGGATAAATCTTAAGATTGATTTACATGCTGCAGAGCGTCTATACACAAATAAATACATTTTTCTTATGTAATATACGTTGATTAACTTGTAGATTAATCCTAGTAAATCCAACGGTGGGCTAATGTCAGATTCCATTGGGCGATATTTAATTCAGCCCATTACCAATCCGCAGCCTTTGCCACCCAGAGAACTAGGCGTGTTGTAATAAATGGAGTGTGAAAGGATATTTTTGTTATTAAGTTAAGAAGCTAAGTAGTTGGTCCCATACGCAGGGTTATCAATTGTTATTTGATCTACGTAAGACATTCATACATTATCAGTCAGTGGGAATTATTATGATCCTTTAGGACAAAGAAGATATATCGTTCTATAGACAGACAGATTTGAAGGCGGTTTCTGCAGATTTTCGGTCTTTAATGCCCCGCATCGCTATCGATACGGCCACTAACTTCATTGCCATTTGACAAAGCACCTGCAACGAGACTGCAGCTGTAGAAAATGGGGTAGACGGCCGAGGTTTGCCAGCGGCTACTACTTGAAGTCCCTGGTGTCTTCGTCAGTTAACTGGAAAGAAAGATAGTACGGGAGAAGCTGGCGCCAGGTACTTTTGCTTCGGTCGGTCGACGTGGTCACACGACGACTCGAGCGGTCCTTCGTACGGCCATCGATCTCCATTGCCAGTTAAGGGCAGGCTTCGATCCATTCGCTTCTCCCGTGCTCCCTGCACTCCCATTCATGACGAAAGCGTGAGCGCAAGGGAGAGATGTTTCTGTGGTGTATCTTCAACATCAGCTCTAGCAGCTCTCATTGGCTCTAGCCGTCCTTTTCGCCAGCGGCAACAGCAGTAGCTCAAGCGCGCTGTAGTTTGTGCGCTTTAAATACCAGACCCCCAATATCCCGAGTGATCCTCCTAGCAGGCCCCACTAACAGGTGAGAGGAGGGGCGGTTAGAGACAAGTTCTTGGAGAGCGGTCGGGGTAGCAACGGCGGCAGCAAGTTACAACAGGAAGATCAGCTTCCTGATCAAGTCACTACCGTGATACCGTCGCGAAGTGCTAGTACACAACCAAAGAGGTTGAAAGAGAACTGTGAGAATGAGATCAACAATGCGTCAGGTGGTTTCCCAGCTGTCTCTCTCTCTCTCTCTCCCTTTCTTTGTCACTTTCTGTTTCCCTTCCCCCTCTCGCTGCTCGCTTGCACGCTGTCTATAAAAGCAGCTATTGTGTATAATTGATCAGTATCATTATTTAAACGGAGATTTATTCTCCACGTGAAAGGAAGCACGTCTGTTGCCTCGTCTTCGTTTTCCTCTGCAGCTGCTGCTACATCTTCTTTCTCCTAGGGCGAATGCGCGCGGACGTTCTCCTCAAGGTGGTGGCCTGAGTCTGACCCGATTCAGCAGACTCTAGCCAATCCCTCGCGGAGACTCAATTCGGGATTTTTACTGTCTGTTCGCCACTGGTCGCCTTGCTTACCAGCTCTAGCTCGCCGCCACCAATTTCGGCTCGTCGCCCCTTATCGGCTTATCCCAACCCACCTCCCAAATCCCGGTGTAACCTGTTCAACTTCGCTGTCCCGTTCGGCGTAATAGAGGTAGTTTCATGCCCTTTCGCAGGTGGCTAGAGCGTTTGCTGGTGCAGTGACTATTCGAAAACTCAGGTAAACTGGCTCGGATATTTGTCGACAGGTTCTACCTAGCAGCTGTTCGATTTAAAAGGAAGGGCCAGCCTAGTATTCGCCACGACTAGTTCGCTCGTTGCGATGGCAGCTGAGCGCGACTACCGAATTCCCATTTAAGCAGACGAGATTGGGTAGGCCGCAAGGGAGCCGAGATAGGCACTGAACGATGTTCCGGAGGGAGATTCGGGCATAGGTAACAGCAGCAAATAAAGTGAACGGGCCTTTCATTTCAGGTCAAGTAGTGAATCAAAGGCTAATTTTGTAACGTGAACGATATCCCTGTTAGCTCACAAAAAGGAACTGTACTAATATAATGAATACGTTACAATTACAATATGCAGGAATGTCGATGTCATGTCCGTAGGAACAAGTGTATATAGTTCATAATCGGGTATATTGAAAAAATAATTCGTATTATAGACTATTGCAAGTGCTTTATCGGGGTACTGATTGAGTATATATGACGGCATGAATTAAGAGATGCTTTTCTCGATGCGATTACGACATGTCCGAAGCAAGCCAACCAAAAGCACTGACTTGAGACTTTCTGATACTAATGTAAACCATTCCACTGAATGAGTTGCTCTAGGAAATTATTAAAAAAGCTACTTACTTACTGATAAAATTAAGGGTATAATCTGCTGCTCGTCCATGATGCCGATGTTACCACTGAAGTAAAAAAAAAAAAGCGCCACTTAAACGTTTCCCTCATTTATAACGCTATCGGGAGAGCGGCGAAACGTTTTGAGCCTTCAGGATAGTGCACACCGCTTCAAAGTATTTAGAACCTTCCCTTCTTCATCATATATTTCATAATATTAATTCCTGAAGCTTTCTAAATCGTTTGGGGATCATCTTGATAAAACTATGTAATAGTTTCTCTACTAAATCTATCTCTACCGGTAAATCTGGTTGTTCTGAGCACCGTGAGAATAGATTACAAGATATTTTGGTAGGTTCAATATCAATAACGTTCGCGTAGATGCGATATGTATGCCAACATGGGAAGGCAGTAATAATAATAATAATAATAATTTCTAGCAGTCAACACTGTCGCGCTATCAGTAATCAAAGCAATGATACAAATAAAATTATTGCTATAAAATTAAGGTAGTATCTGTAACTTGCATAGAAATAAGATCCGCTTGTGTTGCCGTGTTAGAGTAATAATATTTTAAATTTAAAAAATAATAAAAAAATTTACGCACGGTAAATGTAGTGCTGACCAATTTCGTCAATGATTCGACCCTACTTTTAAAATGTCTTCCTCCTAGTTATCCACTGAAGCACTTTTTGAATCAGTCAGCCTTCTAACAATACCCACAACAGACTGCATACACATCACATCCAGGACAAAGAAAGAGATCACGACAGTGAAAAAAACGTTTATTTTGTTGTTTAAAAAACTTGGTTCACATTTAAATAAACCATACAGTATTTGAATGATATTATAATACTATCTCTGTTTCTATTTACGGTACAGCCTAACTGTCAAATAAATAGTTTAGCAATTAGTTGAAAATGTTATCGTTAATTGTATTTTAAGCGCAGCAGAGTTTATGCTGCTTGTGTGTCGAAAGCGTGATTCGGCTACAATCCTCGTAGTCAAGGTATTCACCTATCATCCTCTTCTAGCCGCTCGCGCATTCACCGCGACAGTGGCATCGGCACAGACCGTCCTGCAGCGTGCGATGTCCTCGCGCTGTTATCGAGATCATTGGGTCTAGATGGTGTTCGTTATCCCTTGCCTGTAGACAAAGTGTAAGTTTCATACCTGCCTAAGCCTGTACAATGTTCCATAATGCAGCGTACGGCAGCAGCTTTCAGCGCAGCAGAGGAGCAGTCTGATACAAATCCGTTATTTCACATTCTGGTCTCCCCGCTGCTACTATTATTGGCGCTACAACTATCCTCTTTTAGACATTACAGTATCACCTACCATCACTCGGCGAGGGTTCCAGCAGTGTCCTGCGAATTTTACCGGTGGGGGCTATCGTTCGTAACGGGTTCTCACAGCCCTCTTCCAGCCTTTAGGGCCAGTGTGGCCTAAAGTGAGAAGGGTTGATCCTACCGACCGCTATATGCAAGCGTCATTTTTCTTCAGGTACTTAAAAGGCCATTCAACTTACAATATCCGGCCCGCGTGGGTGTCTAGCGACGCTCGATCTAAAGTCGTCGTTGTCCTTTGGTAGTATCCCCACAGTATGTTACGTGAGAAAGAACACGAGTTGAGATACAGCGGGGGGAACGGGTACACGCACGTACGCATGCTCACACACACGCCTTATATTACTGTATCACTTTCTCAATTCGGCGTCATTTTATGCTTGCAGATGGGTTGGTAGGTCCGTCGCACACACACGTAGTGTGATATCGTGAACAGGGGGCCCGTATCTTCTGCCTACATTTGACCGCGTCCGCTTTGCTGATCCTGTACTGTTGTGTGGGGTGTTGTGGAGTGAAGTGTATTAAACTTAATGTATGATCGCTTTGTCATCTTTACGCAGACAATCAACGCGGACGAAGGGTAAGGTAGCATCGTTTTCTCACTGGAGAATCACTACCGAGCTGAGGCAGTGTGATTCAGTCAGAAGACCAGAGGCATTTTATCAGATTTGCTCCATGATAGGTGGCATTTGGTACTTTTAATCAAATAACCCATCGTGTCTTATCGCATGACACGAACACTGGATGTGTTCATGTTGGTTAAGGCCGTCCAGCCAAAAAACGAGACTGCCTAAGAATGAATACCGGTGTGTTGTTCCTATGCTCAAAATAAGTACTTACTGGATGGGTTTACCTGGCGGATGTAACTCTGACCTTTGCGTAGACCTTTAATAAATCGGTTAGTGTCACCAATCATAGCAATTCAGTTCTGCACATCGATTAACAGGCAACGTTCACTTTTTTTTATATCTCAGAACTATTAGTTCGTTGCGAAAATCTCTGTAATAATATATGACAATCACCAATTGATAATATATAGTAAGTAAATACAACGGTTGAGAAATAAAATAGATTATTCAGAAGCCATGTAAGCAGGTATTAATATCAAAAAGAAAGATGCAATTTCCATTAAAAAAGAGCAAGTTAAAAGCAATAAAAAAGTAAAATGAATTCGCGACCAAAAATTGTGATCGGCTGTAATAAATAAGCAGCGCGCTTTGCTACCCCTGGAAGCATAATGATAATTTTAAGTTATACTATCAATTGCATACCCAAATTTAAAATGGTCTAATTCGAAGAGCTGCGAAGTCCGTACAAACCTTTCAAATCAACAATTCGTTAGGACCACTACAATTAACGAACCAAGGATTCGCGAGGAGGGAAACGAAAAATTAGGGAAGTATTGACGGTATACTTATGATATTCGTCTTTATATATATATATATATATATATACTAAAAGGTATATATATATATATATATATATATACTAAAAGGTATATATATACCTTTTAGTGACAAAGACTAGATGAAGGATTTAAATTTTATGAAGAGTCAGCTTGTTATATCAACACACACACCAGTGGCGCCCTCTATCGAGGCTCCGCGGCACAAATAGAACTTCCTTAGCAGTTCTATTTGCATAAGTTTTTACAGCATTTTATTCTAAACTCCGTGCCGAGTGACTTATGATACGGGTACTAGTTATAGCATTAAGGACCATTTACTGTATAGGATTTTTCAGTGTAGATACATGTGTCCTCGTGGCCTAATGGATAAGGCGTCTGACTTCGAATCAGAAGATTGCAGGTTCGAGTCCTGTCGAGGACGCGCAGATTTTTCAATAATGTTTTTTCTTTCGTTATGATAGGAATTATTATACTGCAAGTTGTTTACTACAGGGGACCTTTACTCTTCAATGGAACCTGAACCTGTATAACTCCGATTCGAATTTAGACACTCCATCCATTAGTTGACTAGGACAAAGATACGGATTAGCTAGTTTGTTCTTATTGTGTTGAAACTGTCCATTTGTGCTATAATGATATCGAGATTTATTCTTCTCATAATTATTCGTATTAACCTTTCGTAAGTATTGCCAGCATGTATTCTTTTTATTCAGTAATACACACAAGTACATTGCTAAGTATAAGATTCGTTTCAGAGTGAGCTATATCTGAGTAAAATATCTTTCTAGTTGATAAGCATACAAAATGCGGTTAATTTGTCAAAGTTTATTGGGGGTATCAGATGAACCGTTTTTTAGGATGAATTAGCAAAGGCTAGGTTTATTTTCCAATAATTTTTAAGCAGACTGCACACATTTGTAAACCTATATATTGAAACAGCATATAAATGTTTCACAGGCAAATAATTGGCTTTTCATTTTTACGTATCGGTAGGATGGAAAAACCGTCTATTCCTTACGTCACTAAAAACCCAGTATGGGATGAAATGGGCGCAAAAGATGCGAGTAAGTGATCCAAACTTCTGTCTTGACAAGTGAGCTTCTAATAAAAAATCTTTGAAAGCTTTTATGAAACATGCAGGCATCGATGCATTTTACTTTAATCGTTAGTAGTTTAACTCTTTAATAGCTTTGACAGCTTAACTAATGTCTTGAATTTCAGATCCCCTGTTCCCGTTGTTTCCTAATTGGCTCTAAACAGTAATTATCACAGACTGCCATTAGCTACAGTTACACGAAGTAATTGTAATTTGAAAGTAATAATAATAGTGCTTGGAAGATAGTATCTACAGTTTAGCGATATGTAGGTTCCCAATTTCATTGAAAGCAACGATTTCCAGGTGCTGCTTTCCACGTGAAACAATAAAAATACGCGATGGAGTCTTCTTCAAAAGCGAGGGTGAATAACAAAGAAAAAAAAATCAAGATGTGTATTTTTTGCTTGTCTGGCGTGAACGTCCAAAAGTGGACAAATGATGAGTATGGTAAGGTTCGAAACGACTATAGGAAGTTCTCGTACGTCACTTACGTTCGGTTTGAGTCAATGCACCGAGAAATGCCGAATGGCGTACGCATATCATGGAAGTGTTATTTGTTTTTGATATTCTTAATTTCGGCAAAAAAATCGCACCGTGTTTTTTGAATTTTCCATCTACAAATCACAATTCTGCCCTCGAAAAACCAATGAAGTTAAGGAATTTCATTTCGATTTAGACGCTAGTTTTCAAGAACCCTTATTTATCAACTTCCTCAAAAGTTAGGTGGTAAGGGCGCGCAAAAAACGTTATGTTCTTGTCTGCATAGCAGAGCTATTAAAGAAAGCATTAATAAAATGTCAGCATTGAGGTAGAGTTCGAATGCAATATGCTTTGTGTCAATATAAGTCATGATAGTTTTCTTCCGTTTGTTTTTGTGCCGCTTCATTGGATGATTAAGCTACTGCTTACTAGTTATAGTCAGCGGTAGCTTGATTATAGACAAGTCATTCAGGAAGTAGTGGGACTAGACGGCGCTATCTCCTCAGACCCATCAGACCATTGGTGGATTGCATTACTCTCTGATTTTAGACGCGAATAGGGTTAATCAGATTTGTCCAACGGTTACTTACAAATATTACGCTCACGACCCTTACGTGATAATAAGAAGTAGTTTAATTAGTGCGCGCTATACGAGCCATTACATTTGTTGTATCAAGTAAGATGAACTTGGCTTTTAAGGTATTTACGTCCTCATGATTAAATTATGGATAGATTAATTGTGTACTCTTGCATGTTAGGCGACGTCAGTAATATACAAATAAAGAACGTCGACGGATTCACATGTTTGAATAATGAAAAAAAAAATGATAGACTGTGGATAGTGCTGACTGTTTAATCGAGAACAAAGTAGGAATCTTCGAAGGAATGCTATCCATCACTATGTTAAAACCCAATGCAAATTTGATACCCAGAGCCAATCCGGGTGGACAACCTAAAGCAACCTAGGACAATAGAAACATAAAATATCAGGGGGAATAAGAAGCCATGTACGGGAGAGTTTAAGTATAGACTAATCTCTACCATTTATTATTGTCCTAACTCGCATATGTTCAATGTATTATCGACCAAGTGCACTATGAGAATTAACACGTTCATGTAAATCGGTGAAGTTTTTCCTTGTGTTAATCAGTTTATCTAGGCTGGTCCTGCAAAGTGATTAACTGTGAATACGGGAGACTCAATCAGCAGAACTTTCCGTGTATTCTGAATAAGTTAAATTTTAAAGTGGGTGTGTTCCCACAGCTTGCAGCCTGTATGTTTGATAAGCTACGTTTAATTCGTCAATTTGAAAGACTATTTGTCTTTTTTTTTCATTTGTGCTTCCTGCGGACTATTCCTTCCTAAAATGAAGGTTTTTGTTGTACAGCAATACATATAATACCTGTACAACACCAAAATACGTTTCAATAAAAAAATGACTAGTTCTCAGTGGCCTTAAGGACAAATTATGGTTTGGTTATGTGTTACAATCACTGTCAGTTTTACCGGAGGAGAGATATGATATCACAACAAATATCCCTTGTTTTAGTCCTTTACTAATGGATACCCTTTCAGAAGTTTTCATGAAACCACTGTACTTACAAAGAGTCAAAATTTCAAATGAAACTTCTTCACAATTGGACCTCATTGGGATCTGTGTTTATGCACTACAGCGTTGTGTTGCCTATCATCTGTCTTACGCTAAGATTAAGAACGCCATTAGTATTTCATCAGGACCCCGTATTTATAAATAGGCGTATTTGGAAAGCGAAAGTAAGCCTATTGTTGAATATAAGCAAGTTTACAGTAAGCAACGAACAGAGTTTTAGCTAGAGGAAATTGACAGTTAGCTACAAGCTTGTTAAACTATTAGCCCATATCATTTATAACAAACTATTTTTTGTATCCTGTAGATTTAGTTCTTAACTAACTAAAAGCTTCTTTTTGCTCCTACCCCCTACGTCAAATGCGTGGTGCTGTCCTTAGTTAATAACTTATGAAAAAAGTATGGTAACTTTTTGTTATGAATTTCAGTTGTTACTGGTAAATAAGGATACGCGTTAATTTTTACATTTCGTACTGAACTAGTTTATTAATCACTAAGGAACACGTTCTTGTACTGTTTGAAAAGTTTGTTATTATGTACTCAGAAATGCACGTAATCTTTTACTGCAGCTCTGAGGGTCACGATACCAGCCAGAGATTGGAGCACTACATGCATGAACAAACTTCACCAAAATGTCCAAACCGGGTTGCTCTACAGGGCGCCGATCCTGACAAGACCATCATGCATTTCAGACGGAGCATGCACAAATATTACTGCTATATATTGCCTCATTTCGGTGACTGGACAGGGTGAAAGGTGGGGAAAGGGTTTTGAAATAAAAACATAGGACCCGCCGGCAGGTTGCCGAGACCCAATTGCATTCGAGGTACGGAAACCAGTCACAAGCAAAAAGGGCTAGAGATGAGCTGTATATTATACATACATAGGCCCTAGGAAAACAGCATGCTGCGACATCAAGCCGCTGAATATTCGGCTGTTGAAGCCAGAGAGGAATGGAATACCACGAAGCTGACCGGGGGTGAGATGGAAGCTGAGATTTAATCCCAGTTCTGTGAAGGGTTAGAACGAGTATGTGTAGGAGTTATTTTGGTAGGGGCCTGTGAAGTTAAGGTCAGCCGCCTGTATTATAGATGAGGGAGGAAGGGGGTGATTCTGAATTCGCTAGCGGGAAGGAGAGGGAGGAAAAGACGAGAGGGACGGAATGTTGAAAAAACTGCGTTTGGCCCGGTCACCAAATCGCTCCGATTCAAATCTTTTCTAACCCTGTGGACGTCCTACCACTAGGCGATTTCCCACTGCCATCGTTTGAGTTCAATTTGCTTGTTTTTCCTTACCACGTACTGATGCTGGGTCCGCTTTCCTTTTCGATACCGGAGCGGGGCGTAGCACGGCTTCGGAGTGCGGATTGAATGCGCTTTAGTGGAAACCTTCGGGTTCTAGAGCAGTCTGTGCCATCGAAACGATGTTGCTTACCGCGTCCGTTGCCGTGGCTCGTACTGCTGTCGCCGCCGCAGTTCAACGGGGAACGGAGAGTGGGAAGAACGAGCGATTCAGACAGGCGAAGTAGCACGATGCTGAATGCCACCACAATAGCGAGAACGGAAAAATAAAAGCGACAGAAAAACAGGGGCAAAAAGCGAAATTCGTGTCACTGCACCAGCGAAGCCGCCGCCACTCTATCCCAAATGCCAGACGACGAGCGCCATGAAGATGCAAGAGCTGCTCCATACTACAGCTCGCTCCTACGATGAGAAAACGGCAGTTGGACGCCGCTTTGATTTGGATAAGGGCCTTGCCCTGCGCTATTCAACTGCAAACGTGACTGTTGCTGCTGCTGTTGCAGCTGTTGTGGCAGCTGCGTTTTGCTGCAGACGTACGCAGACATGCATACGAGTAGAATGGCGATAGCAAATCCGCCGGACATTGGTCCTAGTACTAGCAGCAACTATAATAGTAACAGCACTAGTAGCTGTACGGCGGTCAAATGCGAGGTTGTCGAAATGAGGGGGTCAGTGCAAGTGCTGCGGCCTGTCGATCGTGTGGCGCCGGCGGCGGCGACCAGGCTGCGGATGACACGTGCTCGAATACAGCACGCGGTAACTCGACCCCCTTCTGGCCTGAACCGTTCCGTTCCGCTCTTCGTTTAGTTTCATTCCTCGTTCAACCATGCTTGCTGCCAACGGTCAAGCCAGGGTGCAAAGTGTAAGCGGCAAAGAGGACAGAAGGACTAGATGGTAAAGGCCTCGGTCATCGGCCTACCGGATGGCTACCGCTGCCC